ATCTTATTTTTTGACAAAGTTATTAGATATTGAACATTTACAAAAAAATTGGATGGTTTTTGCTGTCCGGTACTGTATGAAAAAAAAGTTTTAGATAGAAGCAGCTCACATTCCAAAAACCCTAATTTCTATATGTAAACCGCATCACGTTATACTATGAGCTTTCTCTGGTTGAGTGGCAAATCACCAATTAAACTAAATAAAAACAATCTTTTATTATAAATTTTTAATTAAATATTATTAAATAATAATTAAATTTTACAAAATATAATTTAAAACATTATTTAAAAAAATTACAAAAATATAAAAAAATATATTAAAATAGTTTAATAATAAGGTTTTATCAAAAGTGTTAAGTATTCTAACTACAAGTATTAGTTTTAGTTTATAATATATGGGTAATACAACAAAATATATCTAAAGTATCTAGATAAATATTAGACAAATTAGATACAAATAGTCTAGTTAATGTAGATTTGTAATATAATTCAAATAATTATATATAAAATAATTTAAATAATTATATAACATGTTTTTGACATATCTAATAAAATATACCAGCTTTTCTGCCAAGTTTAAAAAAAATATATTTATTGAAATTTTCTCTATCAATATTATTTGTCGCAGATCATAATGAAATTGGATTAAAATGAAATGAGAGGTTTTTATTTGACTCTCTAAAACCCATTTATACTTGTTTATTATAAAACCTGCCTCTAAACCCTAATCCTAACCCTAAAACAATACTAAAAAAATACACCCCAAAAATTTGTATTTTTCAGTGGCTTGTCGATTTTACACTATCGCTCATTTCATTTTAATCTGATTTTATTTTAATCTGCCACAATTATTGTAAATTTTAATTAAAAATATTTAAAATTTATAAAAAATAAATTTAATAAAAATTAAATAATTAATAGGTTAAAAGTTAAAATAATAAAAAAATAATTGAAAAAATATATAGTATAACTAATTTAATTAAAGTATAAAAAATTATATAAAGACCTTAAAAGTGATTATATAATATATTAGTTTTTCATATAATAACATATATTTTTAAATAAAAAATTTGTTATCTGAAATATTTATATGCCAAATTAAAGACACAAAAAACTTTTATTAAGCATTGTATAGAATATAATAGATTGTAAAATTTTAAAAATCCGTTATAAGTAGTTTAGACAAGGTCAAAGTTTAAATTCTTTTAATTACATATAAAAATCTTTTTTGAAAGCCAAAATTGTGTTGTACAAAAATTCTAAATTTAGAATGTACATTTGTTCTTGGCGACATTAAATACAGTACTTATGTACATTACGTACTTGCAAAACTTACAACTACGAATCCAATGTAGTGAACTGACTAAAATAACACCTTTTTAATATCGTAAAATACTCGGGTGTAAAACATAAGATATATCAAAAGATTACTGAGAATTTTGAGCAAAAAATTTAGTACAAATCAATTCTTTAACAAGAGGTAGTACAGGATCAAATTACTTTTTATTATTTGAATAAGAAAAAATATTTCTAAAAAACTATCTGGCCATTTTCAACATTTATCCGTTTTAATAAAATTATTAATAATTTAATTTAATTATTCATTTAATAATTAGAATATAACGTTATTTATTTTCCTGAATTATTTCTTCGATGCTTTTTCCCTTAGTCTAAGAAAAAATTTATTTAATTACTAAATAAAGTTTACAATACTTTCCATAAAAAATAAAAGACAAACCTCCGGAACAAAAAACCAGGTAAAGATCACAAAGCAAAAGGTAATTGCACCAAACACGAGGAAAGTATAGTCTTCTAAAGCCTCTTTCATAACAGGAAATACGAAGGATGCAAGAAAATTTAAGGACCAATTTATACCTAAACATATTGGACCGACCAAACTTACGAAACGTGTTGGTATAACCTCTGATAATCACGTGGATGTAAATGTGATTAATCATAGCGTAATAATGATAGTAATAGGAAATTTACCACATAGATTGTTTAAATATCATACCTGAGATAATGAAGAATGGTAAAGTACCAAGAGCGATACTAAAAGTAGTAACATGGAGTAAAACTTTGAAAACAGATAAAAAATTTATTAGAAAAGCTACATAATCCCCGACTAATCAACTCAAACCACTATGTTGAATTTTGGAATCGTGATTCGGGTGTTTATCCATTGCATTCAGTAATAATTTTCTTACATGCGACTATAAGAAGAATATTATATCGATATATAGAGCCAATAACGATCAGAAGACATGAAACAGTAACACCAATCTCAGATGTTAATAATAATGGTCTTCTTCCCGCTCGATCTATCAGAAAGGTTGATGTTAATGTAGCTATCAGGATTGTACCGCCTATGATTATCGATACGTATTTGGCTGAATCACCCATGACATTTAGGAAAATTGCAGTGCTATTAAATTATTTAATGATTTAGAAATATGTACGTATTATAAGATCATATAACTATATTATGATCAAGTTACCTATAAAAGACGATTACTTGGATACCACAAAGTTGTTGCACAATATGTGTTCCAATACAAACGAACAACATCTTGCGACAATATGAATCTTGTAAAAGTTCTTTAAATGAAGCCGATTTTTTTATTCCAAGTTGATCATCAGTGTCTACAAGAGAAGTTTGTATATATTTTTCATCTTTCTCGATATTAACATCATTAATAGCGTTAATCTGTTTTTTGGATTGTCCCTGAATAATTTCTTCAAATTCTAAATCAATGTTATATCCTTTTCTTAATTTTTGTAATGTTTCTTTCGCTTCTTCAATTTTATTTTGTGAAATCAAATATCTTGGAGATTCCACTCCTATAATAGGCATTAATACCAATTGGAAAACTGCAATTGCTGACGTCAGAGTTAAAAGAATTCGCCAGCCAGGAATAAA